TGTCGATGTATGTATGTATGTATGTATGTATGTATGTATGTATGTATGTATGTATGTATGTATGTATGTATGTATGTATGTATGTATGTATGTATGTATGTATGTATGTATGTATGTATGTATGTATGTATGTATGTATGTATGTATGTATGTGTGTATATGTATGTATGTACGTGTGTATATATATGTATGTGTATATATATAGTTCCTCTGTTTCTATTTAGTTAACACGTTCAATTTAGACACATCTTAAGGAAAGAAGAAAGAGTGAGAGAAAATGATAAAGCGAGTGGGGTAGCTAACTAGTAATTGCAAAGTATAAACTTACCCAAATAGAAAATGTATCAATTAAATAAAAAAGTTTTTTAAAAGGAATACATATCAACTTAAAAAAACGAAGCTAAGTATGTTAAAAACTACCACATGCTTTCATCTATCCGTACTCTAAGGCCTTGTTTAGTTCACCTTATTATTACTCATTTCCAAAAAATAATTTCAGATTAGCTTAAAATAAAGGGAAAATCATAACTAATAATCCCGTCTTTGTCACTTCTGCTCAAAACAACCCTATATTTGAATAATCTGGAAATAATCCCACCTTTAGCCCTGATTTGCTCAAAACGATATTTAATACCTATAACCTATTTAACAGGTGAATTTTTTATTTTGTTTTATTTTGTTTTATTTATTTATTTTTTAAAATTTCTGAAATCTATCCCCTGCCTCTCACCTTCAATGGCAAATCTCCATTACTACCACCACCAAAGCGTTAGCCGAAACCCCCATAGCCCAACCCCATCACCACAAGACCTCGCCTTGAACTACCAACCCTCACTTGACCACCGTACGACCCCACCTGACCCCCTAACATTGGCCAACCAGCCATCCCGAAACCCCCTTAACCCACGAAATATATCGACACCCTAGAATCATACTCCGTATGTTTCAAGAGTTACTGTGGTCAATCCCATGTGTAGCATTGAGGCAATAAATACTATGGTCATCTTCAACACAAAGTACTATTTCTAACCCATGGAAAGAATTAAAAGAAGATTAAAAAATTTGGGGATGATTAGTTGAAATTCAAAAAATTAATCGAACATCAAATTAAACCATTTGAAAAATCAGAAATTTTAATTAATTTTTAGTTAAACCCACAAATCCACAATATAGTGAAGGTTTGTTTTAGAAAATTCAATGGAATCTTTGTTATCGATATCGGCTCAACCAAAAGCTAGTAACAAAACATGAAGTTTTTTTTTTTAAAAAAAAAAATTATTTAAATCAGAATAACAATTAGTTACTTTAACAAAATGAAAAATCATACTTGTATCAGAATCAGCATTGTAATTAAGATTTTAAATCCTTGAACTCGTGATTAATAACTTGATTAAAGATTAAATTGATAGAATTAGACTTTCACCGGCAGGGAAGGGTGTGGGCTACTCCGGTAGGATGGGGTATGAAAGGAATAATGTCCTTCGAATAAGTGTATTATTCTGATAGTGGGTTCAGAATTTTTAGAAAGCTAATATATTCAGTATGGTCAAATGATCGGAATGCCTGGGTGGAGGCCGCTTCCGATCAGTAATATTAATGCATAATTAATATTACAACTTAATCTTGACTGAACCCTTCGGGTCACACCCAAGCAACTAACGAGCCGAAGCGATGAATTAATTCGGAATTAATTAATAAGTCGATCGAGTAATTTATATTTAGACGTCGGAAATTCGAGCTTGGAGCGTCGAAACCGAGCGTCGGAGAATCTCAAATGTCGAGCCAAAATTTAGGAATTGGCGAGACGGGAAAATGCTTCAAGTAAGAAGCAAAAACCCTAGCCACGCAAAAAACAAGGAAGCGCGCCAAATAGGAGTGTGCCACGTGGCAACACACATGGCATCACGCCATGTGGCAGCGCACGTGGCATCCACCAAGTGGCAGCGCGCCATGTGGTAGTGTGCCACATTGGCAGCGCGCCATGGTGGCAGCGCATGTAGAAAGGGGTCGTGGACCCGGGTGACAGGTCATGGACACGGTCAACCGAACCCAACTTGAGGCTCAAGGTTGGGTGACACATGGTTAGCTCACAATGCATGTGAGTTGCCTTGGGGACCAAGTGAGAAAGTGGTTCTCACCTAACTATGTGACACTTGTTACTTATTCTTTGGTTTATTTAACTAAGGGTTGAATTCATCAATCTTTCCATGTAGGATCTTTTTGTGAAAAAAATCCCACATTTAAAGATGAGTGGAATTCACAAGGAAGCTTTCCTTATAAATAGCCAAGGGATGGCTTGGGATTTTTTGCTTGAGTAAGAGTTGGAAATGGGATCACTAGTAGTGAAAACCTTTGAACTCAAGAGTTGGAAAGGGTATCACATTTTGTAAAAGCCTTTGAACTTAATTACTCGGGTTTATCGGTCGAGTCTTGCTATCCCCAAGACATTGGACCTAGTCGGTGATCGTTGTTGCGGGTGGATCATCGTTGGAGGCTTTGTAATTTCAAAGCTAGCTTTCAAGTAAGAGCCCATGTTTATGGTCTTATTTATTGCGAGTGCGGTCTTGTTTTTGGGTTTGTTTTCGCGGTGAGTCGGACTCACCAAACCCCAATAGGGTAGGCATGGGAGGCTGTTTCAGGTGGGGGTCGGAGAAGGAGGAAGGGGATGAAGATGAAGGGCGCTGTTTTTATTCTTTGTTTTGTTTTTGTTTTTGTATTTACTATTTTTATTCTTGGTTTTTTTTAACTAATGAAAAAAAGACCAATTAGAAGGTGACACGTGGGATGTCACCTTCTAAAACCAGTTAACAATTTTACAAACAGGTCAAGGGATCGTTTTGAGCAGATGGAGGTATAAGGTGGGATTATTTCCGGATTACGTAAAGGTGGGATTATTTTGAGCAGAAATGACAAAAGGTGGGATTATTTATTCCAATTTTTCTAAAAACAAAAGTTAAGATTAGATCATATCAAAAATAAATGAATTTCACAAAGTCTTATATGTGGCTGGCTACACCGTATGGCCAGCCATTTTAAAGGTTACTTCACTAGTATAATGGGGATTACTTGGTCAGTGTTAAGGGATTATTTCGTCATTGTTATAGAGTTACTCAGTCAGTGTTATAGGGGTTACTACGTCGGTATTACAGGGGTTACTTTATCAATGTTATAGGGGTTACTTTTAGTGGTCACACGGTATGGTCGGCCGCACACAAGACGAGCTGAATAAATTTAGTTCAAATTATCATTTATATGCGGTTTTTTTATTGCTAAATATCTATAATTTCATAATGAAAAAATTACTACCCCTATTTCACATTTTTTGCAACTTTGAAGGGTACACTGAATTCTATGTAAAATTTGTTTGTGAGTGTAAGATAGAGAGAGAGAAATAGGAACGAATGTGAAGAGGAGAAAGATAGAGAGAAATAACAACCTAAAAAGGAAATAAAGTATTAGTTGTAAATAATGTGTGGCATTCATTTTTTGCAAAAGTTGCAAAAAAATACGAAACCGAGGTAGTATGAAAATTAAATATTATTGTACTAAATATACATTATAACAAAACTAACAAGACTCCACTAGATATCCCGTTTAGGCCCTGTTCACATTTATTGAACTGAACAGAACTGAAATGATTGGAGCTGAACTAAACTGAACTGAACAGAATAGAGCTAAAATGAATATTTTATGAGAGAAGGAAATTAGAAGCTGAACTGAACTAAAATTCAGTTAAAGTGAACAAGCCCTTATTCCTATCTAATTGAAGTACTCGACATTGTAAAATAAAATTTTTGTCCGAGTTGTCCAATACAACCTCCCTTCCCCCCCCCCCCCCCCCCCTTATTCCTATCTATATATATAAGGAAACGATTTGATAGAAAATTTTAAGGAAACGATTTGATAGAAAATTTTATTCATATCAAGTAATGTCCATTTCCGCAAAGTAGTGATGCTTTGGGGAAACGACTCCAAACGTACATACTCGTATTTCATATGATCATTCGTGTCCCACCTAAGTGTGCTACAGTATTACACGAACGCTTAACATAAGAAAACTTACAAAATCAAACCAAGCTCTATCGATATAAATATCATCAAAAATCACAAAAATGGGAGAGTCCTATATCCTTCGAGTTCACGTGCCTGATGATATTCACGGCATCGGATTCCACCCAAACACTCTTGTACCCCATACAAATCGTAAGGCTTAAAGCATACCTCACTGCCATTCCTTCAACAACTTCCGAGCTTGAACAATGCTCCTTCTCATTGCCTTTTATTTAATAAAAATAACATTCATTTTAGCCATAAAGAGTCATTAGTAAGACTGTAAAAATAGATTAAACCGTATTAGTATACATTGAAATGTCTCATTATGAATGGAATTACTTTGATTATGAACTTAACTTTCTACATTGCATAATCTAATTTTCAATCATTGGATAGTGACAAATACTAAAGTTGTTAATATCTTGTAATCTACAGTTAATACTACTTTATTAGCAACCTAAATAGTTATTATCAATACTTCCAACTTTGTAATTGTTTATTATAATTAGGCAAAATAAATCTTTTCAACTAGGTTGTACTATTTTCTTCAAATTCCATTTTATTCTGCTGGAGATTCTTAAAATATAATTAGTGGACTTAATTTTGTATTAGTGGCTGATAATATAATGAATAATTTTTTTTTTAATAAGTATAATAATCACTCAAAGCTGCCATGCATAGATACATACAATAATAATCTTTAACTTTTTGTCAAAAATCTTTTAACTTATTATGCTTTTTGCGTATATAAAATGTCAAAAATTATTTTATTATGATAATTTTGGCTGAATTTAACGTGTTGATGCATGTCCCTAAAATCAGTTCATTTTAAAAATTGCAACACGTAGTCCCCACTCTTGACTTTCTATTTTGGCCACCCTTTGCCAACTTACCTTACTACTACTATAAATACTCAATTTGACGTCTTATATTTTGCAAACCCAACACATAACATAAACTACATCTACAAGCATCTTATAACTTGTATAATAACAACAAATTAAAGATGGAGAGTTTTCTTAAGCATCTCAATGTGTTTTCATTAGTGTTATTTTTCTTTGCTCTTCCTATTTCTTCGGCCCTTCAAGTTGGTTTCTACAGTTCGTCTTGTCCGAACACTGAGAACATTGTTCGACAAGTTGTGCAACAACGTTTCAATGCTGATAAATCTGTTGCTCCGGCTTTGCTTCGTATGTTTTTTCATGATTGTTTTATCAGGGTAAGATTTTAGACTCCTACTTGCATGATATACATCTTATGACACATTATTGCTTGCATCTAGATAAAAAGGGAAATAACTTATTAATAATACAAAGTATATAATTATATTACATGTTTGTGCCAAATAAAGTGATTGATAGAATGTTGAATTGCCGTAAATTTTAATGAACTTTTGACAACTTCAAACTTCTATGAACTACGACAAAAGAGCTACAATAATGCTTTGTCTAATAAAGTAATCCCTTCTCCATGTGTACAGAAGGTTCGTTGCTTGATGTGTATGTTCACTGTTCACTATTCACATACATCAATAATTTATCTCATATTCATGGCTATTCATACTTTAAGGACATAATGTACATTAACGTTTCAAATTAGAATTCAATAATGGTTGCGCCACATGGGTTTAAAACTCTCTCACAACCTTAGAATGATATGAAGGGTCAGGGATTGAAGTTGAAATAGACAAGAAATTCGATGAATATGTTTGTTTGGTAAATAAATGGATAGTTAATTGCACGACTTAACATAAATACAGAGCGGCTACATAAAAGTATTTTGTATTTATGAGAATTTTAAATCAAAACTACGAGTCACATTCCCAATAAAAAATATTTCCTCCATTTCTGAAAGTTCGACTTATTTTGCATTTGATGGTCTTTAATAAATAACTTTGACCATTAGTAACCCCGGCTATGTATAAATAAAATTTTTAGAAATTTGATGATTGAAAATTCTCTTAAGGGGAATCTAATAAGATCAAACTTGTTAATTTATTTTGATTGTATAAATCAATAAATGTGGTCAAAGTAATTTTATTTTGATCACTTTAATAGTAAGTGAGTCAATCTTTCAAGAACGGAGATAGTATTATATTTCACTTTTTTTTACACAAAAAAGAAAACATTATTTTACTTGTTGATATGAATTTTGTTTTAAAGTTGTATTTCATAAACCTTTAAGTTTCTGTACCATGGAATATACAATCAATTGATACAATATTTTTTTTATGTATAGGGTTGTGATGCATCAATATTAATTGACTCAACAACCACCAACCAAGCAGAGAAGGCTGCGGGTGCAAATGGATCTGTACGAGAGTATGCACTCATAGACCAAATCAAGACCGCTCTAGAACAAGCATGCCCTCAGAAGGTTTCTTGTGCAGACATCATAGCCCTTGCTACGCGAGATGCAGTTTCCTTGTCCGGAGGGCCTATGTACAGTGTGCCAACAGGCAGGCTTGATGGCACCATTTCTAGGGCAAGTGAAGTAAATCTCCCCGGCCCAGCCTCCACCGTCTCTCAAATCCAACAAGCATTTAGCGCCCGTAAAATGACTCTTAATGATATGGTAATCTTAGTTGGTGGCGGTCATTCAATTGGAAGAGCCCATTGTAATTTCTTTCAAGATAGGGTATTTAACTTCCAAGGAACTAGTAAACCTGATCCTACCATGGATAAGAATTTGCTTACCAAGCTACAAAATCTTTGTAGTTTGACCTTTAATCCAGCTACTTTCCTTGATCAAAACACAACAGTTGTGTTAGACAATGAAGTCTACAACCAAATGAAAAAGAACAAAGGAATCTTGCAAATTGACCAAGAGCTAGCACTTGACCCTTTAAGTGCCTCAATAGTTTCAAGCCTTGCCGCCAATAATAAACTTTTTAGGCAAAGCTTTGTAAATTCCATGATTAAAATGGGTAACCTTCCAGGAACTGGTGGAGAAATTAGAAAAAATTGTAGGAGACAAAACTAAAATAAAAAGAAGATCAAACTTAGGGTTATCTAATTACAATTGATTGGAAGCCCTTGTTTCATTTCCTCCACTTTCTAAATAAGGGTATTTTTTTTTCTACTTATCATTATTGTTTGATTATTTGTATCTTAATTCATTTTATGTATAACCTTTTATGTATTAATAAAAAGTGTAATGTTTAATTAATTGTATTTCTTTATGGTGTTCTTAGTCTATATAACTTGTGCTTGATTGATTGGTACATTGGAAAAACTTTTATATAGTCACATGGTATGGCCACAATTGTTTATAAGGTAAGTAGGTAGTACTTATTTATTCATACTGGCAAAACCTCATTTATTCATAAGACTACCTTATTTTTAAGTACATGATACATGGGTAACTACCTCCAATTCAATATACGAGTAATATTAGTTAATTAGATAAAAGACAAAATAACCTCATTTATTCATTTGAGTAACCTACACCCTTTTCTTGTTTTGACTATTACAAGAATAATAAACCAATTGTTTATAAGAATAAGCCCATTTTGTCATTAGATTAATCCTTATTTATTAGGGATGGTGAGTAAATCCCTTGACCATTTGATCATCACCGCATGTAACCCTAGTGCTCAATTAATTATATTATATGTGAAGTGGTCATACATATTATTTGATTATCTACATATAAGAATTTGTGCTTTGATGAAACAAAACAATTTTAACATAATATAATGGACGAGACACATCACACAATTAGAGCAAGCTAAACTAGTTCTCGCTCCAAATAGAATGAATTGGAAATTTTGACCTTAGCTATCCCAAATATGAACATTATTCCTTAAAATGTCCCGAATACTGATTAATTTATAACAATCCCAACTTCGGAAGCCTTATGTTTTAAAATAGTCTATAGCCTCTTATGACCGGGTAAACTGGTTAAGGTTGTCACGTGTTGAATTCTTAGTGATCCGTTCAAAAAAATGATCTCTCCTCTCTAGGTCTTTCTCCACCACTACTGCAACTACCACACCCTAGCCATCGATGTGCCCTTTATATACTACTTACCTTCCTTATCAAGTTATCATCACTATCCTTAGCCATTTCCACTTAAAAATCATAAACTAATCAGACCAAAACCGCGCTCAAGTTGGTGGCAGTTGCAATAGGGCTTTATAAACATGATAAGTGGTTGGTAGCTTAGGTTGGGAGGCGTGGTGGTGGATGTATAACTGGAAGATGGTGAAAAGGGGTGGATTTTTTTTTCCCTTTAACAACGCCCAATAAAACACTTGATATTTCTTTAGTGGTCATTTGAAATATGACTATCATATTATTTTGATGATAAATAATATGAGCAATTTTTATTTTTTTTCACACTATAAAATGGACACAATTAGTATTCTAATATCAATAATGTAAATATGTTTTTTTGAAAATTTTAATACAACATAAATATATATTGTTCGAGAAATTATAAATTAAGAATAAAAATTACATAAATTTTGATAAATTAAAAGTTTTGATGATAATATTTATACAAAAAATAAAGTAATATAATTAATTATTTAGAGAAAATTAAGTCAATTACGAACTACATAATCATATAATATTATGGTAGTCATATTTCAAATGATCATTATACAATTTACTACAACTACACACGTGACACTAGTAACCGGTCAAATGGATTAAAAACACACCATTTTGTGTAAGACCACCTAATGTTAAAACATAATTGTCTGAAGGCTAAATCTCCTTGTCTCCCTTAAATCATTGATACAGCATTACATTGTTTGATTGAGTTAAACATGCCGCAATTGAAGGGCTTACTTTGCTTAGATTGTTTGATTGAATTAGGTGATGCACTGATTATTCCATATTATGCTAAGTGGCTTAACGTATTTACAGAAGTATAATACACGTTGACGATGCACCGACCTGACACCCATTCTATTTTGTATAGAATTTTCCATTTAAATGGAATGGAATAAGATAAGGCGCATAATATTGTCAATAATTTTACGTAACATAATGTTTTTATCCAAGTTTACAAGATTGGATGTTTATTTATTTTTAATTGCTCCACCCGTTTTATCCTTTAGGCTAAGCCGGATTCGGAGATCAATTCTGGGTGGTTAGGTTGTAGTCCCCTCTCGATTGTTGTTGCGGGGGATCGAACACAGGTCCTCCCTACTAGGGATGTCAATGGGGCGGGACAGGGCAGGGGCGGATGTTGGCATTCCCATCCCCTCCTAACATTTTCATCCCCATCCCCGCGGCGGGTCTAAAATTCATTCCCATCCCCGCCCCGGCGGGTACAATTTCAAAACCATCTCTGCCCCACCCTCCACTTGGATATCCACCTCTACCTAATCCCCGCCAAAGACCCGCCTAATCCCCACCCTAGACCCACCTAACCTCCACCTTTCAAATACACAATCCTACATAATTAATATAGATTACATTAAAAAAAAATCATTCTAAATATTACACATCTTTTTGTTTATAATATAAGTGTATTACAAAGTATTATAATTAATATTTTATAAAATAGTATAAAAGTATAGAATTTGTTTTAAAAGATATATAAATGTGGGTATAAGGTGAGAATAGGACGGGTACGAAGTGGGGCGGATGGGGCGGGGCGGGGATTTGGCGGGTATAACCTAAAATCCACTCCCGCCCCATCACCTATGGCGGGTATGGTTTTCATCCCCATCCCCGCCCCACCACCCGCCAAACCAAGACCCATCCCCGCCCCACTAGGGCGGGGATAGGGCGAGTCTCCTACTTGACCCGCTCCACTGACATCCCTACTCCCTACCAAGTGTATTCTCAATCACCACTACACCAACAATCAATTGGTAGATTGTATGTTTAGTTAGATGCAGATAAAACAATGTATATTACTACATTGTCAAAATTTAGATGTGCATAAAACAACTAGCTTAAATCTCGTGTCATGCACGATTTTACTAAATTTTAAAGTAAATTATATTGCAACAATAACAAAATGGTTAAAATTTTATTTAACAGTAAACATGCCAAAGATGTCAAGATTATTGATACAAAAAACTTAACAAATAAGATGAAATGAAATAAATTTATAGACTATCATGTTTTATACTACCCCAATACTCCTTACACAAAACTGTAAATTTTATATTAGTACCCATACGATACACACATACATGGATGTACCATTCGTCCATAATGTGTTAACATACTTTGTTAGACACAATATTTTATGCAAATTTAATTATTTTATTTTACTTTGTGATAAATAATTAATAACCCTTTTTTTATTTAGGGTTATTGGATTGCTAGGGATTTTAATATAATATATGGGTAGTATATAAAAATTTTTATTAATATAATAACTTTTATTTAATTACTTTTTTATAGGTTATTGCAAATATTATTATATTGAAGTAGGGAAGAAAAAAATTGTATTTTCCTACAAATTATATTTATTTTTATTGATTAGTTAAGATTGTGGACATATGGAGTATTACATTATTATAAAATATTTTAGTTGAAAATATTTTTGCACAAAATATTGACACATGATTTTATTATTATTATGAAGTTTAGACAAGTAATATATGTTACTCTTTATTAAAATATTTTCTTCTCTAAATATAATAGAATTTATTGCCAAACATAATAAAGTTGGAGAAAAAAAATTATACATCATAGTCATTGGTTAAAAAATAATTATACATAGTCGTCAGCCAAAAATAGACTTTATTGCCAAATAATAAAGCTGGAGTATTCTCATTATATAATACTTTAAACTAGTGTGTGTCCGGGCGTTGCACTGGGTTACCACTTTGATTAAAGGGTTTCTTTATGAAATATATTATCATCTTTTTTGACAAAATGAAATATATTATCATCGATTGTGTATGTTATGCATAAATATTGAAAATTATGTTACTAATTGATAAAGAGTATAGAAAGAGATTTTTTAACACTCTATTGTTTAAGAAATGTTGATTTTATTTCTCTTATTATTTGTTTTTGAAACTGCTTATCTCGTATTTCCTTTTTAATTGATGCATGTCATTTATAGTTAGATTTATATGTATAGATGACATCAATTATCATTGGCTAAGGCCATGTTCTCTTCACCTTACAAAAATAATATTAAGTAAAAATAATTTCAGTTCGGTAAAAATAAGTTCAGTTCAGTAAAATTAATTTTAGTTCAATAAAAATAATTACAGTTCGGTAAAAAAATAAGTTCAGTTCAACAAAATTCAATTTTATTAAAGAAGAATTATAATAGAAAATCAATAAAAATAATTTCAGTTTAGCAAAAATAATTTCAGCTCAGTCTAATTAATTTAAGTTTAGTAAACATAATTTAAGTTCAGCAAAAATAATTTCAGTTCGGTAAAAATAATTTCAGTTCAACAATATTAAGGTGAAGAGAACGGGGCCTAAGATGGTAAGTGTAGGGAATAATTTCAAGCCTTTAAACCCCACTAGCTCAAATCCCACTGTGATCATACACTAAAGTACGGTGGCGTCCAAAAAGGAAGAAGATAGAGCAAAAGAGTCGCCAACAAGTTTTTTAGGAACTTGTAAACCATTCACGAGGTGAAGGTTACACTCCTTAACGATCCAAGAGATCGTCAACTCCATAAGGTCTTGAACCAAATAAGGGTTCAGGGATGAAGGTACAAATCCAACCTAAAAGAGATTGAACCTGCCCTAATAATAGGCCTCTACTTTATTCTGATCGTATTCATGTGCGCTTTCTGACTAACATGCAATTAATAGGATTAACCCTAAACCTGTTTATCTATGTTGGTTGAATATTAATGCACAAATAAACTATTATTGGCGATCACTTGAATTATAATCACATTAACCCTAAACAAGATTATTAATTATCTTATTAAGCGTGATTACAAGTACAAATTCCCTTTAAACATGCATAAAGGATGTGATCAAGCAATAAATAAAATAATCATCAAGCAACATAATAATCATAACATAAATAATAATTATAATAATCATAATCATAATATCATCAAAATAATAATAATAATAATAATAATAATAATAATAATAATAATAATAATAATAATAATAATAATAATAATAATAATAATAATAATAACAATTATAATCATAATCATGTTCATGTTCATGTTAATATTAAAGCATAATAAAAAATAGCAAGATCCTAGG